ACACACAATAAATAAATAAATAAATAAATAAACTTTTTAAAAAAGAACAGGGCAGCGTCCCTGGGAGAGTCTGATGTGTCTTCTGGGTACTTCAGGCTGACGAGTCCATCCTGCAAGGCCCCATGCCTCCGCTCATGATAATAAGAAGAATTCAACTCCTTAGAACTCCCAAATTGACTATGATTGGATCCCAAAGGTTTGTGCACAGAAACCTGAACATGGGGGAATAAAGACTTCCATTTTCTGAGCTCCTTATTACAGATGGAAGGATTGGCAATCCAGCTCTTCCATGGGTCAGTAGACAGCACACTCCTAGAAGCCCCAGAAAGGAAAGAACGTTCTTTCTTCTATGATCTTCATAAAAAGCAATGCTGTCATGGGGAATTCAGAGTCTAGGACACAGATATATAATAGTTTCTGCTTCAGGAAAAGTTGTAAGATGCATGACAGACTCAGCACTCCTGCTTTCCACAGCAGCTAAATAGCAAAGATAGTGAGAACTGGATTCCCACTCGTCTCTCTCCTCAGGTCATTCCCCAGAACCCAATTATTAACATGGAGCACAACACAGGGTTCCACAAATATATTCCTTACATTTGTACTGTAATGTTTTACTTTAGCATAATAGCATCCTTCTGTGGATCTTAGTACCTTTGCCCAAGGGATTCAAGAAGCAAGCTTTATGTTACCCAATTGATATGAGCAAAGGCAGGAGTGTGCATGTGAAAGCCTGTCAGAACAGGATTTTGAACCACATGGCACTCCATCTAACAGGTTTTGTATGTGCTAACCTGAGCATCACAGAGGGTGTAAAGCACCCACACCTCTCTAGGATTTGTTTGTTTAAAAAAGTTTTCTTTGGATTGTTCTTCCGGAAGTGGTCCAAGTCAGTACAATGGCACATGAAAAAAGGTGTCTGTAAGTCACGGAGGCGTTGGAAATGAATCCTCAGGCTATCCAGGCATCTCCGGTGAAAATGAACTGCTATGGTAAAACTGCAGGTGTGGAGAGTGGCTGAAGCTGGAGACTGATCCCACTTGTGGGGCTGGAGCAAGGCCGGTTCTGAGAACAAAGCCTGCCCAAGGTGGGCTTCCTGAACAGGCTCCTGCAGTCCAGAGAACACGATGCACTTCAGGCAACTGAAGAGAGCGGCTTTCCAGGCAGAGGGGTGTCATGTGACAGCAACCTGCCACACTGTGTATACATCAATGTGTTGTGGTGGTTGAGCAGTTCATTTTCCTCACATCTAGACTGAGGCTTTAATATTTGATGGAAAATACCTGTTCCATGATTTGCCAAAGATGTTTGACATTTAGACAGAGAGAGTAAACCAAACTCCATATAAAAAAGAATAGACTGAGGGTTTCGCCTGATCCCAGCTTTCTGTCTCTTGTTTTCATTTATTCATCTTCTTGCCACCCTTCATGGGCCGCACCACAGGAAGTTCAAGAGAGCTTCACAGAGCAGTGCCTGAACAGGGACTCGGAACATAAGGAAACTCGTCATTTAGCAGGTGAGAAGAACACTCTAGTGTGCACATGAAGGGGGGAGAAGTACATCAGGATCCTGAGTATGGAGCCCAACGATAGCATCACCATGGAGCCCAGACACGTATTCATACCTTCCACACTGAGCCCAATAATCTCACCAATGCTGATTCTGTATGTATCAGGTGTAATACACGAGGCAAACAGGTTCTCAAGAACCTTGGATGCATATAGAAATGCTTGCTGTGTTCTTCATTTCTGTATTTACTTTCTTTCTATGGATTTGGAGTATGGAATGTCTTAATGGTCATATGCTTGTTGAGATGACCACAGAGGATTGAGCACAGAGAACTAATTTATGCCACCTCTGTAGTGGGAATAACATGATGGGACAACAGCCACTACATTAGAGCTTAAGCCCACTAGCTTTGCTCCATTAGATAAGGCAGGTGTGGTGGGGGACAAAAATACCTTCACTCACTAGTGGAGTGTTTTCGTGCAAATGCCATTTCACAATGCCCAATAAACTTAATTGCCATGAATGGCTACTTCTGCCTTCTAAGTTCATAAAATAGATCATCCTTTAACTTCGTTGCCCAACAATTGCCCTTTGAAAATGCAAATAAATGGTGCAAAGAGGTTTTGAATAGGAAAAGTTTATTCATTTTCAAATTTTTTCAAATCTCATTCTGATGTGTGTTGGCTCAGGAAAAGGGATTTTAAGAGACCACAAGACAAATGTTCTGTGCCGACTGAGATGACTTGGATTTGCAGATACTGACCCTTTGTATATACAAGGGGATAACTCGGCAACAACTGTGCCTTAGGTTGTTCGTTTGCAGCCTAGTAGGAAGAAAAACAAGAAGGCTATTTATTTGAGCTACAGGATTGAGGGTCTTTTTTCCTGAAATCGACCTGCTGAGCCTGTAAGAGCAGCACAGCCATGATCTAGCGCTTCTAGTATCTGTACAGTCCTGTTAGTCAGGGTGTCTTTGAGAAAATGAGCATAAATAAGCATCCAAAACTGATGTGGAAGGCTGACCTATTTCTGGAGACTTCCAGTGGGGCCTGCCTCAGCCCTGCCAAGCAGTGGGGGTGCTACAGCGCGGGGAGCTTCTCTGCGACCATCTGGCATGCCCCGAAGGGTGTGGTGGGTCGGGTTTGGTGTAGCAGGCAGCTGAAGGAGACAGGTACCAGAGTTGACAGCTGCCACTGAGGGCACTGATGAGCAGGCAGAGGGCTGAAGCCCTGGCCAGCCCGCCCTCCCACATGCTTCAGCATGAAATCCACCAGGCCCTGCCAAGCTGGCATTTATTTATTTATTTATTTATTTATTTATTTATTTATTTTTAATGTGTTTGGTACAGAGTCTGCAAGATCTACAGGGTCTCACCGAGTAGATCGGACTTGTAGTGATTTTCCTGTGTTCAGCCTCCTAAGGGCTGGGATTACAGGTGCACATCACCAGTCTCAATCGCTGTTTCAGCGTGCCCCACGGGATCGAATCCTGGCCGCTGCACTCTGCCTAAGCAGGCGCTTCAGTCCGTTGAGCTATCTGGCCAGCCCTTTTTATTTTTAAAAAAAAGTACAAATTAAAATTAAAACACAAAAATATATAAGTAATACAGAATTTCACTTAACAAAGTAATATGAATTTCACAGTATTAGCTGTAATACA